CATCCTGGGAGGGGAGGGCTGGCTGTGGGACCTCCCCAACTGCGGGCTGGAAATGGGCCCGCCTGGCTGCGGTGGAGAGGTCAGGGGACAAGGGCTCTGCGGCCAGGTCTCCCGTCCAAGATGGGAGTCTCTCAGTGTCGGTTTTTACTCACAGAAGAATCTGGATCCGTGGTTCTCAGGCATGAGGATTTCTAGACTTGTAAAACAAACAACAAAAGCTGGCCCTGGCCTGTGTGGCTCAGTTGGTTGAGCATAGGTCCCGTGCACCAAAAGGTCGCCGGTCCGATTCCCAGTCAGGGCACATGCCCAGGTTGCGGGTTTCAGACTGGAGGCAACCCACTGATGTTTCTCTCTCTATCTCTCACTCAAATCAATTTAAAAAACAGATACTAAAAAGGGACTTAAAAAAAAAGTTTTCTTTACGAAGGAGGGGTAAGGATGGATATAGGGACCAGTTACCATCCATTGTCGACACTATTTTGTAAAAGAAAGGACATTTTAGAGCCAAGAATTCCTAAGAATTTGATCTGAGTCCAGTAAATTTCGTTTTATGAAACATGCACTGCATTTTCCTTCCTAATTTCTCCTGGCCTGGGGAAGCTTCCCAGAGGGGCTCAGGGGGGCTGGCCCTTCCTTCGGTCTTTCCCTCACTGCTGCCCGACTCCCCAGACAGGTGTCTGGAAGCCCTGGGAGTCCTGAGAGCAGCAGGGGACTGGGAGGAGTCCCTGAGGACTGAGGGTGCCCTAGAGAGGAGCAGGCCTCCCTGAGACTAGGGGAGTTCAGGGCAGCAAAACTGAATTGGGGGGAGTTCCCATCACCTCCCCGGAGACTCTCTTCCTCCTGCCTCCATCCTGCCCTGCTCAGCAGGTTCTCTGTCAGGCTCTCAAGTCAGGCTGCAGGTTAGAATCACCTGGAAGGGGCCCAGACCAATCAGATCAGAATCTCAGGGATGGCGCCTGGGCCTGGGCCTGGGCAGTTTTTCAAAAGCTCCCTGCGGTTTCTAGGCTGAGTGATATGTCCCAGTTCCTCCTCAGAGGGGGTCCTGCTGTGCTCAGGGACAGGAACTACAGGGCGGTGTGGGTGGACAAGTGACCAGCTCTTTCTGCCCCGCCCGGTCCCCCTTCCCCCCCAGGGTCCTACAGAAACCTGAATGGGAGGCTGGTCACGGGCTTCCCTGTGACTCAGCACCGAGAAGCAAATAACAAGAGGCCTTTGTTTTACCTGCACACTGCCCATCCCTGATCTCCCCACCGGTTCTCTTGTGGCTGTGGGGAGACGGCAGGAGTCTGGGAGAAGACTGACACCCTTTCCAATGGGCAAGGGCCCCTCTTCCTTCCTTCTTTTCAGGTTGCCCTTTGCCCTGACATAGGGGCTACCTGGGAGGAGGGGGTGGGGCAGTAACATTAGCCCCTTACCTCCCTGCAGAAGGGACACTGTCACAGAGGCTGTCACAAAGAAGTCCTTTCACCTTCCTTAGGTAGCCACAGCTAACATTTCGTTAGAGGACACTTGTTGTGTGAGATAGCACAGATCCTGTTTGAACCTTGCAACAATGGTGTGATACGTGATCATGGTTATCCCTGCTGTCCAAATGCACACTCAGCTTCTGAGTTTAGTAACTTCCTGGGGTCATGGGCTACAAAGCCAGGGCGTCAGCTTCAGACCCATGCCCTTTACCTGGACCCTGAGGGCAGGAGCCAGGGTGATCCAGCCACAGTGAAGGGGGCCCAAGTCACCCTGGGGCTGGGGCACAATGCCTGCTCTGGGGCCTTGGCAGGGAAACCCCTTGTATGGTCACAGTTCCAGGGCACAGGCGAGCTTTCCTATTTCCATCTTTTAACCACTGTGCCTATAAACTCCACTTTTCTGCCACTTGCCAAGGGGGTTCTTGATTTCTGGGTTTATACAGCTTGTCAGAACATAATTATGTGACAGTCTTTTGTGTCTAAAGAGAGAAGGATGGGCAAGAATCAGAGCCTAGAAATAGGATCAAAGGAACGGACGCCTTTGACCCTGCCAGACTTCGTCAGGCCCTGGAGCTAACGGAGTCAGACAGAAGGGTCTGAGGGCGGTCAGACCCCTGCTTGACCTGTGCCTTCCCCCCCAGGAACATCACGGCATCTCACACATTCTCTGGGCCTAAGGCTGCGGATTCCGGGACAAGAAAGGTACTGTGGTAGACTACTCTGTACTTCTGAGCATCCTCACGTTAGGGGGTGGAGGGGAAAGGAAAAAGCAAACAAAGGGGGGCATTCTCACGAGACTGCTGTGCAGGAGTTCTTTGGACCCCTAACCCTCAGAAGGAAGCAAACCGCTAAGCAGCCAGCCATCGGGGCTCCTCAGACCTGGCCACCGGGGTTCTCTGCACCCCAATAGAGGAGCATGGATCAGTATGTTCCCTGGGGTACAGCCAGTTGAACGTTTCTTGGAAGTCCTGCGATTTATCTTTAAAAGGCTTGTGAATCTGACATTCAACTCCCCAAAATGTCTTCTTACTACAAAAGTCACATTTAAACCGCTTGCCATAGAGTAGACACCAAACCCTGGGAAGATGATCCGTGTTTGCCCTGAGGATTTGAGAACCTTCCGGGTCCTGCTCCATAGCTAAGAGTCGGTGGTGACTGTGGGCCGAGGTGCCACCTCCAGCACGTTCCCTGTGTCTCAGACATAAGCCTCATGGCCACCCTGTTGGGTAGCTTTGACAGTTGAGCATAATGAGGCGCCTTGCTCAGGGTCACTCAGGGAGAAGAGGTGGCATTGGGGTCTGACCCCAGCGCCTGGCTCTGAACCACTGAGCAGCAGAGCCAGGAGGACAAGTGTCCTCGTGCGTCTCAGGAGTGCTTGGCCAGGACATCTTCACATTCCTCAAGTCCTTCCCGCCTGAGCTACTGGATGCTAAATGACATAAATCCCTACCTGGTTTAAAAAAAGGACTTGAGGTAGCTTTTAGGTACATATAACAAGGCAAAAACATAAAATGGAATAAAATAAACAAGTGAAGGAAAATAAGATGTCAGATAAGTGCACGAAAAATGTTCCCCAAGACATAAGACAGGCCATACATATATCTGGCTCTGAGCTTCTTGGTGGCCACAGTGAAGAAAGAAACTGTGCCACCAGGCCCATGAGATAAATGCCAGCCAGAAGGCCAAGTGAAGCACCGCCTTTCCTGATGCAAAGACCTGGAGATTTTTCTCCTGGAGCCTCGTAAAGAAGTCCCTGGAAAGCATGATAAACTAAATAGTAGTGAAACTTACTACGGGTATGTTCTGCTAGAACGCCTGCTATAAAAACAGGAATTTGCAAGGTTCCAGCAATTTTCAAAGTTCCAACATCAGTCTCAACAAGACAGGTATCTTAGCAAACAGTTTGAGCATCGCACACACTTTGTGTTTGCTGCTGAGTGACCTGTCAGCGAGAATGCTGGCTGAAGTGCAGAGAACCGGCCCAGGCGAAGGGAGCCCCCTAGGGATACAGAAACCGGTGCGCGCCCACTTTCCCCAGCGAGCTGCCACCCTCCCGACGCCCGCTTCCACAGCGCACGGCCCGGGCCAGGAGCATTTCTGTGCAGAACCACTGGATGGGTAAAGAACAGTGCTCCCGTCTTCCTCGGGCTCCCCTTGCTGCATCACTGACCAAGTTTCTGAGCGCCGTCCCACTAACCCCGTTTTCCCAAAAGCCCTGGGGCTTGGATGGCAGTTCTGCACAGTGGGGTGATTTTTAGGAACTTCTATGTCACATGATAGAAAAAAGCACACGCAGCTCTCCCCTGCCTTGTACTTTCATAAAACCAGCACCTTAAAAAAGGCGCCTCTTGAGTGGTGAGCGCAGCCCCACCTGCCCAACACAGGGCCTGGGCCCAGGCCCAGACGGCGTGGGATTCTGGGGGAGGAGGGGTTGCAGGCCGGTGGGGCGGGGTCTGTTCAGTACTCGCCTTCCTTCAAGGCCCCTGCCTGCAGAGGCATTGCAAGGTTTCCTAGGGCTATTGAACAAATGACCAAAACCAGATGGCTTAAAACAAGAGGCATTTATCTCGCACAGTTCTGGAGGCCAGAAGTCTGAAATCAAGGCGTGGGCAGGACCCTCCCTGGCCGCTTCCACCTTCTGGGGCCTCCAGGCATCCCTTGGCTTGTAGCTGCACCACTCAATCTCTGCCTATCATCACGTGGCCTCCTTATAAAGACACTGAATGTAGGGCCCACCTGAATGCAGGATGACCTCATTTTAACAGCTTACATCTGCAAAGGCCCTATTTCCAAGTAAGGTCGAATTCCGAGGTTCTGGGCAGACGGGAACTTTGGGAGGACACTATTCAACCCAGTCTAGGCAGCGACTGGAAGACAGACACTCACGCTCCCCCTGGCCGCCCTTCCTCTCCAGCCCCACAGTGAAGGCTGCCAGAGCTTCCCTGGATAAATCACAGGACTCGGATCCAGGCCAGTCATTCCAAAGCCCAGGCTGGACCACCTCCTGCAAAGGGCAGGCAGGTCATACCCATGGGGGGGGACGCCCCAGAGTTTCTCCAGGGGTGAGGTGCAAGAGCAGGAGGCCAGAGCCATCAGGCCACAGAGGTGTGGTGTCCAGGAGGAGAGCTGGGCAGGGCAAATCCAGAAAGCTCTCTGATCAAGTCTGGAGGAGGGAAGGCAGCTCTTCCCTACCAACTCTCCAGTGGGGTCTTCAAGCTCCTGGGAAGACTCCCACCCATCCCCACCCC